CACAATCCATCTTGTTGCATTTGTTGTATCGACGCCATGACGGGAGGGAATGTGTAGAGTGATGAGGCAAACTGGTCGGACAGTGAGACACGCTTGCCAAGTTGCGTTGGAACTTCGAGTTCTAACCGTGAGAACCACGCGTTTCTCTGGCTTCAAGTGCCGATAAGAGTGTTGTTATCGGTGTTAACTTCCGTTAATGCCGCTGTAAACGAAACCGACTACCTGTAGGTGCTGCACCTCTGCGCAACTTTATTGCCTGGCACAACGACTAGCATTGTCAAGTGTTAACTCTTAGATCTCTTCCATCGGCATGCTGTCGACTTATGAACTGCGAATGCCGCTCAGATCCTCTCCAAGTTGAATCAATCCGGGGCACTAAATTCGACGCATCCTGGATTGCGCCGTTACGTCCTTACACTCTTCCTGAAGCTACTGTAGACGTCGAGTCAAATGTCCTCCTGACTCCTCGTTGTCCATGCTTTACCGCCCTCTGTGGTATGAGTACTTTGTTTGGGATTTTGCAGATCCTCTTTCGTCCGTCTCCGACGGAAAGATTTTGCCCATTATACATATCCTGCTTCTCTTCTCCTCCGAGGTAGCTGCAGAATTTCAGCACGTTTTTCTGCGCATACATGCGTAACATGTAACATGACCACTGACAATGAACTTCGGGTGAGTCACTTGCACAATGTCATGTCGAGGATGATAAGAGGATGTACCAGCCTTTCCTGCAGGGAACCTCATGATCAACCACGAGTGGTGCGAACATCTGAGTCGCCGTGTCGCCGTGCGCTTCGGTAGGTCCTTCTGATCACCTTTTCAAACGGAATGCCTCGCCTTTTGAAAGACGGGTTTCTCAGCTCTTGAGAGAAGTCATCCAGCGGGCTGACTTCCCCGACATAGTCTGGAGCCACCCAATCCAAGAAGCAGGCAGTATTCCCGCATTCTTACGGCATTTCGCCATCCAGGACAATCAGAACGTGCGATGACCTTTGAGGCAATTTTGAGACCTGCAATCATGGTGAGCGCGCTTCTCACCATACTGCCGGCATGTCCTTGACATATCCGGTCTCACAGCTCTGGCTCTATGCTAGACTTAGTGGGGTAGGGTGCAATAACCGCCGCTACGGTCCCCCGGTTGTCGGCTGCAGGCGATCTGCCCCCACCCAGTGACGGGTTCTTGTCCTGTTGAAATACACGTCAAGCATGGTTTTGGAGACGAGATTCTGCCAAGCAACTTTGCACAATCTCGGCGGAACTTGGTCTCTGCCTGTCTATGCATAACGCCCTTCTACGAGTATCACGTCTTTCAATCTCTCCGGCGGCGATTGACTGCTGAGATGAATTCTGAATCATTGTCTCATGCATTCAATGTAGGGCCCGTGTCGACGCCACCGATTTCCTATTGGCAATGCTTAGGAGACATTCACTCAGGTCGTGACCTGCACTCAAATCGTAAATGAATACAACACCGAGGAGAAACATCGCTTGGCGCGCTCCTCTGCATCCAGACACGGCAAAAGTATGGAACTACGCACCACAGCGAGGCGGAGTTACGGATCTATGCCGCTGATACTCTCGCGTGGCCCTTGTCCAGTCTCAAGTTCACCGAGTCTGTGTATCTCTGGGTACTTCGTCTCCATCGGATTCTACGTTCCCCGCTAGATGGCCACGCGCGCTCTGCTCGCGAACTAACACGACTTCCAATTCGGGTCGCGCACGAAACCTCGGAAGAACTGCTTCTCCGCTATTACTGCCGACCCGGTCTCATGCATTACTTTTGATACACCTGCAGCAATATGGCCGGTTGCGACCCTGCGGCTTCTGCTCTTGTTCAATGGTCCCATGCAGCACGGGCCTAGAAACGGCCAAGCTCGGGTTCGTGGTGAAAGACGGGCAAGCCAATATCTCACCGATTTGTTCTAGCTCTAGAAGGCCTTTCCGACTTGCTCCGACCAATCAAGCTCGTACGTCCCGAAGGCGGCGCGCACGCAGCCATGAGGAAAAGTTCGCGCGAAAGCCGCGTGCACAGTTCCAGGTATACAATGTCTCCGTTGGTGCCGGTTCGCTTCGGAGTCCGCGTTCGCGGAGCTGGAGTGAGCTCCGCCCGCCCCCCCACCGTGCGTCTCGGTGCATCTGCGCAGTTTCACCAAATGCCCCGCAGGTTCCAAGTTGGAGACATCCTTTCTAGGCTCGCACCCCCTTGTCACGCAACATAGGCTTCTTTGGTGCCGTCTCCATTTCTAGTATCCGCGCTCGCTACATGTTGTCTGTCCAATGTCAGCGGTGCGTTCTCATTCACTCAGGTTGCGCTTCGCTATCATTAGTCAAGCTGTTACCAATGTCTATAGAACACTGCGCACGGGGTACAGTCACGCTATCGTGTTGCCGCTCAGTGACGTGCTCAGATGAAATGCAAGCGCCTACTGTCAAAAGCTTGTTTCAGCATTGCGCGGGTGATGACGGGCGCTCAGGAAGTTCGGGCCGTTTCTCCACACCGAAGAAAGCAAGAGGCTGTGTCCTGTGGTGTTAATGTCCGAACTCTTCGGCATTTCGGAAAGGCGCCTATCTGTTCTGAACACCAACCAAGGTGAGCCATTTCATGCATCGTTTCCGTGAAGTGCTTGAAGCAGACCCAGAGATATTGCTCAGACAGAGAATGTTGAAATAAGTGTCGTCGCACAGAGAATTGCTATACATACCCCTTCGGTAAGCTAGTCCGCTATGACTTGATCCATCATTATGCAGAGCTGCGCTGACACCGTTAGCGCAGCGCCTGGGGCAATGCAGTGCCCATGAACGACCGTTGCTGTCAAGTCGCTGTCTCGATCCGCGCCTGCTGCTTTTCAGGAGCGGCGCTACCTACCCCGGTGGTCACGTTCCAGCAGGTTTTGCCTGCAATGTCTTAAGGTTCAACTGACGGTGACGTCCTCAAAGCCCAGTCTTCTCCGTTTGTCTAATTCGTGATCTCGCGTCATGATCCGACCAAGTCTTAGAACTCCAATTTCCAGCGCCGGGTGCTCCAGTTTACGTGCACAGCGGCGTTCCCCTGGGACATATATAAGAGGACACGCATTGTCCTTCAAGGCATACCAATCGAACACAGCACACTTCTACTCAACTACATCCAACGCACAATCCACTATGACTGCTAACATCGTTCTCCCTTCTCTTACCAACTGGGCCGAGCAGCACGTGCAGGCCATCTTCAACGCGACCACCCAGTCTGACTTTGACTCGGCCTTCGACAACTTCCTCGCGCAGAATGCCAAAATCACCGTGAATGGCAAACATATCTCGCGCGATCAGTACAAGACGCGTCTCCAGGCGGAGAACCCGATCGAGGTGCAGGTCTCTCTCACCTTCGATGGCGCCGTCGAGGTGCCGACCAACCAGAACGAGCCCATAAACGTATGTCTCCTGACCTACGCATACAATATTTGCTGACGCACAAAAAGGCGGGCACTGTTGGCCTGTTCTACAACGCGGAGGTCCCCGGGAGGTTCTTCGTGTTCGGTGCGCGCCAGACGAGCGCGCTGCACTCGTCCCTCAACCTTGTGTGAGTATCTTTGCATCTTCCTCTTGTGGACGCCGGTGCTGACGACTGCGGTCCAGCATCGAGCAGGACAAGTCAATCAAGCCCCCGACCACGATTGGCAAGGGCGGCGACTTTGACCCTCGCAGGGTCTCGGTGTTGAACGAGGTTGCTCTGGAGCAGGCGAACCCGATTGTTCCCCCGACCGGTTCCGCCAATTGAAGCGCCAAGCGTCAGGGGGATGAATGTTCTGTCCACTTCACTTCTTCTCCACGCCACACCTAGCAACACATTCTTGTACCTATGATTGCACGTACATGTACAATTCAATATGATCTTGTCTTATGAACCTTCTCGAGAGTGATACCCGCCGTGAGTAGTCGCTCGAAATACACGTGATTGTGGGCGTGTTACTGCAAAGGGCAGAGTGTGGCGGATCGGTGGCGGGAGGCAGTCAGATGGCCAGACAGCTGCGGCGGCAGCCCCGTCAGCTGGCCCCTGAATGCATGAAAGGGACTAATCCAGGCTCCGTTATTGACAACAGAAGCTCGGAATTGCTATTGTGAATGCTTCCGCATCTTCTGCGTGATCCCCCTATATATACCGTCCCAGGACCACTCGCCTCTTTGGTTCCTACCTTCACAGGCTGGCTGCCCTCGATCCCAACGCGACCTCGCCCCATTAGCTACAACTAGGACCCTCTAGATATGTCTGAGACGCCTGCCGCATCGATTGAGATCAACGACGCCCTCTTCTGCTCGCACTTCAAGGAGGTGGTGCGTCGATAGGGTCGGTCGTGTGTGCATTGCGTGTCTCACGTATCTGATTGCAGTGCACCACTTGCGGTTTCGACGGCAGGGAGGAGAACGACACTTTTTTTGGCGTAGGTCCCAACTGACGTTTGACTCAACCTGTGCCTGACGACACCAGTTCGACCCCATCGACCGCGAGGGCATTGAGGCTCCTGCATCGAGCACGAACAAGGAAGGAGTCTATCAGTGCAAGAAGCATGGATCAGCCGGTATGTGTCCCGATATTGAATGAGTCCGCTGGGTTCTCAATGTAGCCCAGCATGCACCCAATGTTACGGCTGGAAGAAGCAGATCACGCGAGCCCGCACTGCAGCGAAGAAGGCGGGAAAGAAGTGATTCGTCCTGAACGGGTAGACTGTCAATAGAGGGTGGCGACCTTCCTCCGCTAGAGACATCTTCTGCACAATGTAAACCGTATCTGGTGTATGAATATCGAGGATGAGCAGAATAGGCAGGATCCAGTTGAACTGTACGAGGGCATCATGCTCTGCCGAAATCCTGACCTTGCAAGTAGTGACATACAGCATTCGCCATCATAATAACATCGTCTCGACCTATGTAGAGATGAGACTGCAAGAAGAAAAGCATACGGTGACATGAGAGAGCGATCTGCATGGTACCGTCTGAATAATTGTGGTGAACTCCTCCACATCGGGCACTTGGCACAGTGGTAGCGCGCACGCTTCGCAAGTTCTTGCAGCCCAGGTTGCATTGTGCTATGTAATTGCGTGAGGTCCAGGGTTCAATCCCCTGAGTGTCCATTTTTGTTATATTCGCCTCTTGTCCTGTTTGCTACCATGCTCGGTCGACCATTAATTGCAGGCACTTTACTTGACTGGCCATCGATAATTGTCGGAATTATGCCTTTCCTGAAGAGCGACGGAAATATCATCAGGGAACGAAAGAGAACATCAAGCGTGAGATATTCGACTAGCAATCACGAAGCGATCAACCAAAAGCCCGATTTTGCTTTAGCTGGAACAAGGCAAACAACGAGGTAACCGGGGAGAAACGAAAGTGACAAAAAGTAGAGTCGTGATACTGCTGAATATGCTAGAATCTCATTGCAAACCGAATTCGGCCCTCACTTTGGGTATGAAAAGATCCTTAGCCTTCGCAACGCGCGTGACCCAGTTGCCAACGACGATGCCCCAGAGAACATCAAAGTACCCGCCGCCGCCGTTCTACCAACGCATCGCGCATTAGCTGTCGTTTTAGCATACATCCCGGTGGATACGCACCTTGCCAATGGGAATGATGATCATCTCCCAGAAGCCCTTGTACTTCTTCTTGAGAGGCTCACCCGCTAGGTAGCTCAGGATATTGGGTACAGCGACCGGCAAGTGGAACATGATCTTGCCCTGCTGCTTCTGTTCCTTCCAGTCTGTGATGTCGCCGAATGCGAACACGCCAGGATGCCCGACGACCTGGAAGGTTGGCTCGATCTTGACGCGGCCAGCCGAATCGAGAACGTCTGATCCGAGCGTCGCTATGAACGCCGTATTCGGACGCGGCCCGTGTGCGGGTACCTAGAGAAGCGGTATTAGGGGCGGGTCATTGTGCATAGAATCAAGCCAACACGTACCACAAGATCAGCAGTGGCGAAGCTCTTCCCGCTGCGTGTCGTCACACCAATAGTGCCCGGCTCTGGGATGCTGTCAATGTACTCGTCGAAGACGATGTCGATGTTCTTCGCGCGCACACGCTTTTCGAGGTCCTTCCGGAACTTGGGGGGATATACGGGGTTGAGCAGCAAATCACTGCCCTGGACAATTGTAATTTTCTTCGTCTACATCTGTCATAAGCACGCGACATTGGGGATGTATTAAGCCAACTTACAGGGTATGTGTCACGGATCTCGCCAGCGGTTTCTACATCATACACAATGAGTGCCGTGCGACACGGATACGAGTAGAACCGGCTCACCAATACCAACAGCACCGCCACCGACGATCACAATATCCTTGGCGTCTGCATAATGTTGCCTCCAAGTCTTCACGTGGGCACGCACGTCGGCGTCACTCGAGGGAAAGTTCAGTGGACCGTACCACGATGATCCGGTTGCGAGCACGAGGACATCATATGAGAGACGCTCGCCATCTTGGAGGACGACCACGCCGCCCTGGCCAGCAGCCTCCTCCTCGATGGCAGTGACGCGTCCCTGAACAAAGCGGCCGTTGCCATTGTGGAAGAGTTTATCGTAGGGAAGGAGCGCTGCGTCTTCAAGGTGGTCCACTTCAGTCACGGTCATCCGTGCCCCCGCAACAAGATGTATACTGAACGGCCGGTCATTGATGAGGATGAGGTCGTGCTTGGACGCGTCAAGCTTCGCAGAAAGTGCGCGCGCCAGCAGAGAGCCAGCAGGACCGCCACCAACAACCACGATGCTCTTGCGTTCGTCGTTCTTCTTCGACATTGCTGACGTAGGAAGAGATGTATGGAGATAGGGAGGTTGGAGTAGGAATGCATGGTGGCCTCATCCTTGCGCTTTTATGGCCTGCGATGAGCAGTGGTTCTCGCCCACACTAAGCCAGGGTCGCGGGTGTCAGCGAGATTACGTGGCGGTTGGCGGATGGGAAACGATTTCATAAGCATATCCCGGTGCCGCGGTATCAGCCACCCGTCGCTGCGCGTCGAGGCCTGTCAAGGCCCGCAGTCGATTTGCGGGAATGCATGAGTACATGCACGACCCGGTTGCGTGATGGACCGCTTGCACCATGGAAGCCATCCATGAGGAATGACATGCAACGGGAACTGGGATGTATTCGCGCGGCTCGGGATTGAATGCGCCGCCGCTGAGAAAGAGGCGACGGTCGAGTGCAGGACAGGAGACTGAATCTGACTAACTACACGAATGCCCCAGACAGATAGGAGCAAGGCGCTAATGAATGGTTTCGAGCGCGCGAGATCGCCCAGGGAGAGAGGGATGAGGGTTGTGGGAATGCGTTGGATTGCCTGACTTTTATAGCTCGCTGGTCTGCCCTGATCCTGCGCTGAATGACGTCCACGAGGGCAGAGAAGACAGATGATGTCAGAAGGCAAGGGACGTGTCGACATGTCTTTATGACGACAGAGGAAGGGCTGCAAGACATGTCCGATTTGGGTAACGCACTTCCACTCTGAGCGAGCAGTCGTCCTTGCCGCTCGTCATCACAGGGGCGTTACCGCACGTACATAGTATTGCGTTGCAGGTCGTTGAAGTGTGCCTCAAGTGTGCCTCAATTGATGAAGTGGATTTATCGCCTTCTCTCCGAGATAATAAGGCGGTTGCTCCGCGCATTACTGCTCCCTGCCTCACTGCGTCCCGCGTTAAAGTAAGCAAGTGACAGAACCGTCGTCCATAATGCAAGGATGGCTGAATGAGTACGCATCGTATGGAGTTGAGTAAGCCCAACGCTCTAACTAGGCTGCCATACCATCCAGCGCGTATTACAGTTCGTGTATCGAACGCATGGCTACGATCGAGGGTATCACAATGCCACATCACAAGAAAAGGTCCACTCCGCGCCGGCGCGCGTCGCACGCGCGAGCGGGAGAAAGAAGTCAGACGCGTCCGGGCATGTAGCGGGGTCGCGGGAGGTAATTACGCAGCGAGCAAGATGAAGAGAAATCGGGAAGATCAGAAGCAGATGATGTCCGTCCGCACGAAGTCAGAGCCCGCCTACCGCCTACAGCAAGAGCGACGCGAGCCCCGCCGCGACCGCGCTCGATACGAGGCCGCTGATACCCCACAAGCGCACACTGTCCCCATCGTTCGTTGAGCGCTTGGCGATGACAACGGGTGCGGAGATGTTACGGAGGGAGCGTGTGGGGAGCATGTTCGGGGTCGCGGACATGAAGAGCATTGGCGGCCAGGGGGTGCCGTCGAACTGGTACAGGAAGAGACGCGAGCCGAGGATCGGATCCTGCGTCACCGCCCATGTAGAAAGAAGCTCCGTGACGTTGTAGTTCTGGACGAAGTTCGAAACGGGCGCGCACGGGTCCTGGACTTGTTGGAACCCGTCGCCGAAAGGTGTCAGCACAATCGAGCCGTTGGGCTGCTGTTGATACGTTCCGTGGTGCCAGACGAGATTGGCAGAAATGCAGTTCGGCATGGAGCCTGGAATAGAGTTGGTACGCAATATCAAGATGAAGAAGAGGGAAAGCATACCATTACTGTTGAAACGGTATCGTGCAGTTTCGTAAAAGCCGTCTTGGGTGCTACGGCTCGTCAGCACAGACCACAATGGTCACCAAGGTAATGCGTGAAACTCACAAGGAGTAAGAGATACCAGTTGTTGGCGGATAGTTGAATGACTCGTTAGCAGGGTTGGCGAAGCCCTACAGAGGTAACGCAGGTCAGCAATTGCTCGGACAGAGCCAGAACAACAAATTCGGGTCGAGGTCTCGGCGCTACGCCGAAAGTGACTTGGTGGCAGAATGGACAGAATGGATCCACGGAACTACGCGATATAGCCGATCCCATCGATGAAAAGGGACCGGATTATACGAGGAGATATAACTCGTGAAGAGGGGCAAAGCCAGCAATGTGTGTTGGAAGCCCTGCACTGGCGTGGAGTATAACTGCACGTCTTCCGAGAAGGACGGGGAACGCCTTGAGCGGCTATTTCACGCAACACACCGAACTACTCGTGTTGCAATTGATCGCGCCGAGGTCGACAGCAGACAGTATAGTGCCTGTATTGCTTGCGTCGGTGGACGCGACCGAAATAACACAACCCTGCGCTGCGTCTCCGCCACACCATCGTGCCCCACTGTACGAGGTAGGCTTGGATAAAGACGAGCAGCCCTTCCACATCCGTGTTCGCAAGGAATTTGTCGAACCGAGGTCGGAAAGTAGCGCGCATGGATATCAAAAACATGAAGCCCATAAATGCAGCACGGATCGCTGTCCTCTCGTCCGTCAAGGGAGCAGTCCCCCACTCATACCCTTGCGCAATGCCCATGGAGTGAGCACGATCAGAGGGGCACTCACCGGGCCTGTGAGCACATTTCCACTGCCAGAGCTCCACGTCCCAAAGTAAGTAGTGGTCGTCTGTTGGACGGCCTGCTGCGCGAGCGCCGTCGAGGCAAAGAGGGCGAGGAGCGAGGTGAGGATCATCTTGAGGGTACAAAGCCGAGCACGACGAGGTCGGGGTCAGATTGCGGGCGACGTCGAGCGCAGCGTCTGCGACGGTGGGAGGTGGGAGGGGGAGGTAAGGAACGTGTTTGGTTGTGTTTTTGCCTGGCGTGGCAACCGCCAACCCCTTGCGGCCCGCGCGCCATCCGACCGTTTGCAATCCCTCTCGACGACGCATTTCAGATTCTCGTCGACCTCGAGCTATCTTTTTCATATGCCTTGCCATGAGTTCGCAACCTAGACTGCTCGTCCTTGTCTTCAGCGAATCGTGACTGAAACCAAAACGTCATGTCACGCAAGTTACGCCGTGATGTCATGCGTGAGTCACATTATTCGGTCACTCGGTGTGTTTGGCGAGGCACCGTAGAAAGTTCTGTTCCTGGCAGTGAGTGATCCCGCATGGTCAAATACTGCGAGAAGATTAATGAACGATTTGGCATAGACATCACAGCCCACACGCGGGATAAAGTGGAATTTATCCATGTGATCTGGCCCGTCGAGCTGGCGCTGCAGCATGACCACTGGCCGTTACTATTCTCGAGCATAAGCATCGCAGGATATGTCGCAGGTATCAAGGAAATTGGCAACCTCCATATGCATATGCCAAAACCCATGAGGTCGTATGTGTGGGCCACCGTCACG